TTGGTTAGATCTGGATGATGTCATACTTAGAGCAGACCCACTGAAATCAGCCAACGTAAGCTGCATTACTGGTTTACTGTCCATGTTTTTCAGTAGATCTGGACTGTTAGACCCGTTCTGCTTCGCATACTAAACAAGTTCTCCTTGCTGACTTCTGAGGAGAAAGGTATTCCAGACTACAGGCAGCTTGGTCACCACTTCCACATCTGTTCAGCAATGCATGCATATTCCAAAAAAAAATTGGAATTTATAGAATGCCTCTGTGGGGTTCTGCCGTTTGTACTGAAAGTGCAGTTATCCCAAGCACATGTTCTTAGAATTAAGTCTCCTTGAGTTCAATAGGGCTTATTCCCTAGCAGGAATACATAGGATTGCAGCCTGATGGCTCAAGAACAACACGGTTCATGAAATGCTGCGCCAACTTTTCCCTTTGCCAGACCTGGTATGAGTTGCCGCACAAGTGACTTGCACTTTCCTTCAACCTTTGCTAATGTTCATTTTTAGACTGCACGCTGGAATAAAAAGTAATTATGATGGTTACTACCTCTTGAAGCAGGGAGGGGGTAACTGTCTTGGATGACATGCTGTGTCTCATGGAACACTTGTGAGCGATATATTTAAGATATCAGGCAAAACATGTGTTTGTAATTGCAGGAGCAGTTAATAATACATCTCTGCTAAAGGAACAGAGGGTTGAGTAATTCTTCTATTTTTATTTTTCAGAGAAGTGAAATTGCTGTGACTGTGATTTAATACTTTTTTTCCTCTGATCAACAGAAGCAAAACAAAAACAAAAACACTTCTTTAAGAAGTCTACATTATGCAATAGGGTTTTTTTTAACCTTAGTCATGCCTGCCAACCCTTATTTATTTATTATTTAGAGTTTTTGTATGCCGTCCCATCGCATAACACCTCGGGATGGCTTACATAGATAAACAAACATAATACAAAAATACAGATTATACAAATTAAAAACCTGATTCATTCCGGCTGCAAATTAAAACCTATAGTTAATATTAAACCTTATTAAAATGTTGTTTAAATGAAAAGGTCTTAGCCTGGTGCCGAAAAACAAATAACGATGGCGCCAGGCGGATATTATGCAAGTTTGAGTGTATAGTTACCCTAGAAGCAAGCAGCAGGGAACTGTCACCAGCCCACATTCCCACATGATGTTCTGAACATGTTCTGTGACACAGCTGAGTTCTCAAGTTAGGTGTTAAGGGTGCTGGTGAAGCCCTTTTGCCTCTCAAACAAAGTTCTGGAGATGATCTTGGCCTGCGTGTGCCCGTTCAGCTGAGGCATACGTAGCTGTGGATGCAGGGACCCTGTCTGTGCTCTCCGGGGAACCTCTTTGCTGAAACACACCATCCTTGAGGAGGAGGCTGCTGCTGCTGCAAAGCAGCTGCGGCAAAACTGGACCGCTCCTCAAAGGTGTGATTTTGTGGCAGAGGAAGACTGGTCTGCACTGTGTGTCCATCCTAAAGCCGCCTGGCCCTCAACATCTCATTCTGCTCAGAAGCCGGAGTGCTGTAGCAAAGGAGTTTTGCTGCAGTGAAAATAGATTATGTAAATCAAGGCGGGGAAATGGTGACCTGCTAGAATGCTTTTGGACTACAGCTCCCATCTGCATAACAGTTGGTTATGCTGGCTTTGTCTGTTGGGACAATAGCTAGACCCTGATTTGTATATCTTACTTTCTGAAAAAAGGAGGAAGGGGAACTTCTCTCTGCTGTGAAGTTCCCCACCCCTGATATAAGCAGCTCTTCTTCAGAGCTCCTGGGTGACACTCCCTTCCTTTGTACAAATAGATGAGCACAGGCAGATGAGAGGTTAGCTGTCTGCACTGTGAATTTTCCCAGGATATGGCATTTAGTGATGCATGAGCATTTTGTCTGAGTTTGCAAATCACTTGAAAATGCCCCGTCTGCGGCCCCGAATGCAAACGAGGGTGTGTATTCTCCAAAGCTGCTTGCGCATTCCTGAACTTGATTTACAAAATATGAACTTGCAAAAGGCAGAACTTTCTCACAAAACTCAGCTTTCTCAAAAGGAGGAGCTTTTGAAAAATGCACAAATTTTCCCGTTTGATTGAAAGAAAACACATGCTGCAAATGAGAATGACAGCTGAGCCAAGCTTTGAAGAGATGCTTGGAGAATTTCGGCAAGCTCCTGCACCCCTGGTTCTCCCATCACGAATGGCCACCATTGGAAGGGAAGTCCTTTGTGGGCTTCTGGTCCGGTTCAGCGCAGGGAATTCTTGTGTCCATATGCTTGCAGTCCTACAGCTAGGTTCATAATCACGTTGCACACCTAACCCTTTTGGTAACTTGTGGGAATGTTGTGTCATGCTCATTTCCCCCAAGGTTGTATGAGGATCTGTCCTGTGTGGGCTGTGGAAGAACTTGACCTGTGAAAAGCAGTGCCAATCAGCGTCTTCCTCCTCCTGCAAATCATAATGTAGAAAAGGGGGACTGAATTGAAACTATCATCCCCCTTTTGTGTCCTTGCTTGTGATTGTTTGAAAGCACATCTACTTTTGGTGATAACTGTACTCATGGTGAATGCATTTGTGCTATTTCGCTACGCTATTTTCCCTCCTCTTTATTTGCCCTCACAATCTTCTGCCTCATTTCCTCACATCAGTCTTCAGTTCTATTGGCTGTGGCAACTCATGTGATTCTTGACCATCACATACAAATCCTACATCTTAGATGAAGCTCTCACAGGTATTTGAACTTACTGGATTGTTTATTACATTTTTATGCCACTTGTATTGGATGGGCTCTACCCTCCAGAAGAATAGGTAGGAGGTTATTTAGGTTCATCAGGTGGTACAGTGAAATTTCCCTCTGGCCAAAGGCCAAGATAGTTTTGTGTTTAGAGCCATGACAAGGCCTTACAGCCTTTAGCATGTTAGGGAGAGTGGAAGAGATAATTGCTTTGAAGCTGCTTTCCTTTAATATATTTCTCAAGAGCTGCTTTTGTGGTGAGAACCAAAACTGTTTGCTTTACTGAAGCAGCTTATTCCTTCTCCATTCTCCCAGGAAGAGGGGTAGGAGCTTATGTATACTGACAGCCTTGGAAACGGGAGAGGGGAACTTTCAAAAAGCCAGGACAAGGGGCACTGTCTTTCGTTCTTGGTTTGGGGAGAGACAGTGATATGTCACTTCACCCAGGTATCTTTGTATGCCCATGAAGCCCATTCTAGCCCATTCAGGCAACCAATATGGCCATAGATTGGGGGATGGTATACTTTCCTTTGCTTGCTTAAATTCTGCATTCTGAGTATCCTTGAATTTGAGGTGAGTTGTCTTGGCTGGACCAGGCAACCAGGGATCAGTACACCACCCAATACCTATAATTCTCTGGGCAGTTCACAATCAGAACTTAAAACCATAAAATAAATAAAATAAAATAATAATATTATATAATCAAGTGTTTTAGACTATTTAAGAACTGAAGTAAAAAGCCAGCACAGTGCACGAACATTTTCTTTAAAAAAATGAAAAACATGGAAACAGAATTGGGTTTTGCAAAGACATGAATGGAATAATGATATATGGAATATGGTAATTAATGATAAACTGATAGAAATAAAAATTAAAAAGGGTTTAATGAAAGCAAATGAATATAATGAAATTTGGGAAGTTTTTGTAAAAGCAGTATTGATGGAAGGCAAAAGCTATAAACCCAATCAAGATTATATGAATTTCTGGAGGGGATATGGGTATAATTGAAGTATATTATATATTATTAATTGTTATAGTATGTGTATGATGGTAGTATTGGTCTCTGGGAGGTGGTGGGTGCACTCTTTCATTTATTCTTTTTTAATTATTGTGTTCTTGTTATGTTATATTATTGTTGTTGTGATTGTATTTATGATTTTTTTCCTGTCAAAAAAATGAAAAACTAAAAATCCAGGGAAAATAAAAAAAGCTTTCACCTGGCATAAAAAGATCACAGCATAGTGGCCAATATACCTGGCCAGGGGATCCTTTTGGGGGCAAGCATCCCAAAACTGGGGTGCCACCTCAGAACAAGTGGTCTCCTTATGTGTATGTATGAACTATCCAATATGATACAACAGGAGCCTGAACAAATGTGACCAGGGACTGTGAGGGCAAAGAGGAAGGCAGTTTTGCTGGGAAAGCAGGGACTGTCGCTGGCATACAGTGTTTGTTGGGCAACATGTTAGGTTTGGAAATGCATGTTCCAGGACCAGCTCTGCCATGTGGTTAAGTGGAAGTCTTGATGCAGTGAAGTGAACTGCTTCAAGAGCATCGTGAGGAGAAGGGAGCAGATGAAGGCGGGAACTAGCGTCTGCATTGCACAGCCAGATTTGTTTAATGTGTTGGCCTTAGGAAGGTGTCTGGTGAGAGTCAGAGGCACAATTTGGGTTCCATGTCAGGCCACAGAATGTCTTAGGCCTTTGGCTACATCAAAGATTGCTATTAGAGAAGATTTAGTGGCATGTATGACCACATGTGGCTGAAACGTGTAAACTGAGTTGATCACATGGCTGGGTTTGATTGATAACAAGGCATTGCTATAAATGCTTCGAATATCATTTTCTTTATTTATCTGCTTGCAGATTGGTTGATTGATTCAAGGAATGCTTTGCACACCTTAATATTTGAAGTTAAAACTTAAAATTGTACAATACTGAAATATTTAAATAAACATATTGAAACATAATGTAAACCTCTAAAATAAAATAAGGGATTTAATTACATTTGTAAACTACTCAGAGAGCCTATGAACTATGGGACAGTATATAAGTGTAACAAATACATAAAAGAATAAAAGTTTAGAATGACAAAATCAAAGTAAAGTGACTTATGGGAGCCCTTCTGTAGAGAAATTTCAGTGTGGGAACTGGTTCTCAGGTCTAGTTTATTAATGTATTTTTTCTTGGTTAGTATTCTATAGATGTTTCTAGTAAGAGACTGGCATGATTAAGAATAAAGCCACTCTCTCCTACCTTTTCTTAAAGGCATCACGATATTATTCGCCTGCTCCGCACAACTGGGGCTCACCTTTCCAGCCAAGAGCTCATGAATGTTGAACCTGAACTCTTCAGGTAAGAAAAAGCCCCTTGGGCTGTACAGACTTTAAAAAATTGGTTCTATGTTCCACAAACTACCAACTGACTTTTATTCTATTGTGTACTCATTGATGGGATTGGATTTTTTTTTTTTGCATGTTTAGTTTTGTTCATTTGCAAATACTTGGGCCTTCACACCTCTAGATCAGGAGTTGAGATCTTTAGACACCCTTTCTGAGTCTTCTTGCCCAGGAATGCAGTGAGGTAATTTTAGATCTTGAACTTAAAAGCACAATGCTATACAAATTAAGACAGAAAAACCCCTGTTACTCCCAGTCTTCCCCCAGTCAGTTTTGTCTAAACTTACATAAGATTGTGTCCTTAATAATGCTATGGACCCGTCTTTACAGACGGCCAAGTTTATTATAGCCGATGCATAACCTTAACATGTCACTGTAGCAGTTGTTTTACACTTGCTTTGGTTACTGGGATTTCTCTTTCTCCCTATTTTTACATCTATTTCCAGTGTTGTGCTGTTCTTCAATTCATTACTTTTATATTTGCTTGTTTTTATTCATTCTGGGTTGTTCGCCAGTCTGGGAACACTCTGGGGCTAAAGAGTGGAATAGAAATGTATAAAACAAAGTCATACAGTTTTCTAACCCCAACAAGCTTACAGGGAAACGAATTCCCACTGGTTGTTCTTCTACCATGCCTCCAGTGTCCACTTAAGAATTCAGCAGAGTTATGCTGCATCAGTTCAAAGGTTCATCTGTTCTAGCACCTGCCTTTCCACAACGAATGAGCAGATGGCAATATTGATTTTTATCTCTCCTATTCCCAGGGACTCTAGGCAGCTCACAACATTAAAATTCGCACAATTAAAACATTCAAATGCTTACAGAAGTTAAAAGTAGATTAAGGGAATATCAAAATCAAACCACTTTGTAGATTAAAACATGAAGGATATATAAACAATAAAACTAACCCAGCGCAAACACACAGGTCATTCCCAAATGCCTGCTGGAGTAAAAAGACTTTAGCCTTCTTATGAAACCTGAAAGGGGAAGCCACCTGTGGGACGGCCATAAGCAGGATCTTATGGGCAATAGCTCTCTCATGCTCTTTCTCTGCAGAAAACAGGTGTTGGGAGAGGTCAACATGTCTGAGCACCTGTAAGGGTGCTCACCTCAGCAGTGGCCAACTCTCAAGTGCTGGTGACAGTGATGGACTCACTGAGAACCGGGCCCGTTGAAAGGGGGTCCCCAAGAAATACTCTGCCTTGAAGTACAGAGGTTCCGTATAGTACCATGAACAGTAGCATTGATCGAGCTAGGAAATTCTACTTGGAATGCTTTAGGGAACCTCGGTTGTCATGGTAAGAGCAAGAATGATGAGAAAACAGCTAGGTTGCAAAATTCCCAGAGCGTGGCAATGCAAAAATGAGGTGAAGATCTTTGAACTTAAGACCAGTTTTGCATTCCAGCCTTTGATTCCGAAAAGAAATCTAATATAGTCGTCGCTCTCCAGTTTGACAGGCTTGGAATTTGCTTTGTCAAAACTTACTCAGCTGTCGGGAGTATTAAGGGGAGTGGCTAAAAAAGAAACATATTATTTCACAGATAAATTGACCGCACACTTAGCCTCTTCTGCCCTCAAAGGAACCTGTTTAACTGGCTAGCCATAGAGAATAGCAAAATGCTTTGGGGCTTTCAGTAAGAACAAGAACAATAAATCAGTATATGATGCAATTTTGTAGCAAGGTGTTGTATTAGACAGGACTCCATGTACTTCTCTGCCTAAAGTTTTGTGAGGTTGTCTCCTCCCTGCCCCCACCTTCTTTCTGTGTATTTTGGTACAGATTTGGTTAAAGCGGCACGCAGTGTTATTCTTTTCGGCGCCTGGCCAAAACCTTTTTATTTTCCCAATGTTTTAAGACCTGACTGTTTTAATTGGGGTTTTATTATTGCTAAATTTTAGGATGCGGTGTTTTAATCATATTTTCTTTTCTTACATTTTGTATTGTTAAACCATCCTGAGACATCAGTAATGGGACGGTCTACACAACTTTTAAATAAATAAATAGTCAGCATTTGCAATTTTTATGATATTCCTTTAACATGTGGCTGTTTAATTGAAAAATCCAATACTCTGTCTGTGGCCAGATTCTGTTCTGTGGCTGTTTTCACACATTGCAAAATTCCTGCATGGACAGATTCTGCTGTGTAGGAAGTGCATGGCCTCTACTCCAACGGTTATCGTATCTAAGGACCGTGTATACCTGTCGGTCACCCTTTCTCCACTTCTGCATACACCACAAAAAATGTCCATGAGCTTTGGTATGTTATACATTATTTTGTACACAGAACTAATGGAGGGAGGAAACAAGATTTGAGAGGGACTAATATCTGAGAGCATGTGTTTCGAATGTCATGGGTCTCAGGTCCTTGCCATCTCTAGTTAAAAAAGAACTTCACCTAGCAGGACTGAGTAAAGCTGTAGGTCTGTTGGGCTGAGCTCAGTTTAGTAGCAGCTTATGGCATCCACTGCACATGCCAGTGGCAAGTCCAGCTGAAAGCAAAAGCAAGCGAACAAAAAACCTAGCATATTTTGGCTTACAGTGCTTGCTTCCATTAACTCAACCCTAGGAAAGGGTTTTCAGCATCACAAATGGTGGAAAGCACCAAACCATTAGCTGTTGGAAGGAAGGGGGTGGCCCCTGTGGAGAGCTTTGGAAGGCCTCATGTGGTCGGCAGGCCTCAAGCTATGCTCTCCCGCCTTCAACCCTGGACAGCCTCTGCCAATCAGAACCTACAAATAGCTTGACCTGTTTTAAGGCAGATTCCTGTGTTCAAGATGCTCACTGTGAGGAAGTGGCCAGCACGTTTGTGCACTGAGAAATTGTGGGGTAAGGGAAACAATCTGATTACTCCAGAACTCCTTAACACTGGGTTTTTTTAAAGCAGAAAGGGGACTCACAAGGTGCTGACAGACAAATAGCTGGCAGGTTGTGAAACAATTCCATCTTTCCCTCTTTAATGGATTTTCTGTGGTCAGAAAATGATAAACGATGTGAGAAGAAAATTAGTCAGACCTTACCTGGAATAATGTCCAGTTCTGGGCACCATGATTTAAGAAAGATGTAAGTAAATTTGAAAGGGTCCAGCGGAGGCAACAGAAATGATCCAGGGTTTGGAAACACTGCGCTATGAGGAGAGACTGAGAGAACTGGGCATGTTCAGTCTTTGGAAGAGAAGACTGAGGGGGGACATGATATCTCTCTATAAGCACCTCAAAGACTGTCACAAAGAGGAAGGTCAAGATCTCTTCTTGCTAATAACAGAGTGTAGGACACGGAATAATCAGTTCAAGTTGTGACAATCCAGATTCAAGCTGGACATCAGGGAAAGCTTCCTCACTGTCAGAGCAATACGACAGTGGAACCAGCTGCCTAGAGGGGTGGTGGGCTCTCCCACACTGGAGACATTCAAAAAGAAACTGGACAGCCATTTGAGTGGGAGGGTGTAACGCGGTGTCCTGCAACAGCAGGGGATGGGACTCAATGGCCTTCATGGCCCCTTCCAACTCTACTATTCTATGATTCTATGATCAGAAGGTTACAAGTAGCAGGTTGTATTGTGTGCACTCCTATAAGATTTCATGAATGAAACAGGTTGTTTGCACCAAAAAATGAGCTATAAACACCTCACATTGCAGTCACAGTAGCACAATTTCCGCATTTGTTCCAAAAGCGTAATTGTGGTTACTTCCAATGGAAGAGCAACCAGACATGTTAGCCTGACCACCATTTTGCATCCTCTAAAATGCACTGGTCTGAACATTATTCTGGAGCATTGTGGGAAGAAATGGCATCTACCACCCAAGGGCAATGCAGAAAAATCTGAAACAATTCTGCTTTTCTCTCTGGGGTGGTGGAAGGGGGGTTAAAAAAATCAGAAATATTCTCAGAAAAATGCCTGAAAAATTTTAGCTCAGCTGTGGTGAATATGAGGGGATGCTTATAGGCCCCGTTTATGTAGGATGTCTATTTTTAAGAAAAAGAACCTGCGAAGTGCATGGGTATCACCTGCTTGTGAATGACAGTGGAGCAGGTAGCTTACTTACCTGCCCCTCTTGCGAGGGCTTGTGGAGTGAACTGGCTCACAATTTTCCTAGCAGTAACAGCAAAACTTGATTTCATGTCACAAGAACAAATATATAGCAGGGGATATATGAATCCATTCCAAAAATGACTCTGCAATATCTTATTTGACCAGAGATTATGTTTGATTGACGTCTCTGTTACAGTAACTAGTGAAAAATGAGGTGAACCTTGACCTGTTCATATTGGTTGTCACCCCAAATGGAAAAATGCAAGGGGTGGGAGTGTTTGGGGTGGGGGAGAAGCTACCAAATCCCCTATTTCTTTCCTTCTCTGCCCTCTTGCCTATATATCAAAATGCCAGTTAATGAAAGTCCAAGGATGTTTTCATTCAAGCCTGTTATCATAGCCCATCTCCAGGCTAAAATGCTGTTCAATTCTGATCACAGCTGTCTGGAAAAATTATGCTTCTGACAGAACTTTGACCATGCCTCTAATACCTGATTATCTTTCTGGTGAAATAAAATATGGAGTGGGGTTTTTATGATCTTAATCTGTCATCTGTCCCGGCGGTTACAGAGACTGCATAAAAAGGCACTGGCAGGCCAGCTAATAGGAGTGGCATCCTTGAATGTGCTCGGGCAGAATTATCTTCCCCTTATGTGAAATCACTACTCTGCTTATCAAGGCTCTTCACCAATGGAGAGGCATAATCTTTTCACTATCTAGGTGACACTTTTCAGCTGTAAGTGTCTCCATCTCCTGGAGTGGTTTAATGTGCTTCTTGAGGTAGAAAGATATGCGGGAGGCTCTGGAAAAAGATGAGCAAAGATGAGCTTTGCCTCCGAGGTCTATCTGCTTAGGGTAGGCCTGAGCAACACGCGACCTGCCTTCTCCAGTCAGTGCTGGCTCCTGGATTTTGAAGGCCCTTGGG